CTCACTCACTCACTCGCTCACTCACTCACTCGCTCACTCACTCACTCACTCACAGTCTGTTGCTTGTTTCAGCAGCACATGAACTAAAATTAGAATGATACAAAGATTAGCATGGGCCCTGCAAGCAAGGATCATCTAAAAATTCATTAAGCATTCCATATTTACAAGGAAAATTTGTATAAACTGAGGACATGACCTCTCCAAAGTATAATTGAGGGGAAGGTTTTTATTACAGAGATGAGGGAGGGGGACTATAGCCAGAGGCATCTGGAAGAGTCCAGAACAGGAGAACTACTAGGTTGAACAGGGCCCACAGACTAAACTTGGCCAATGAGAGGAGAGGGAGTGGGAAGCAAGAGAAAGAAGATTTCAGGCAAAGGAGACAGAGAGAGAAGAGCAAGAAAAGAGGAGCTAAGAGAGAAAGACAAAAGAGAGATGGGGGGACCAAGAAAGTTCATAAAGGGAATGAAGCGAAACTGGAGGGAAGCCATAAGCTGGAGAAACTGAGGGTAAGAGGCAGGGTGAGAAGAGGTGAGAAGAGCCAGGATGCCAGCATGGACACCTGAACAGGCATTTGTGATGCTGAGAGAACCTGGAGGCCAGCATGCACTTTGGTATGCGCATAGGCAACGCAGATAGCCATTTGTCCAGAGTTTCTTTTGAATTTGACAAAAATGTGAAGGCAGACCAGTGGAACGCACCTGTAATCCAAGCACTCTTGAAGGTGAGAAAAGATGACCTCTCTATATCTGTTTCTAGGCCAGTCTGGGTTACAGTATGAAACCTCCCTTTCCCTGAAAAACTGGCAAGGACTGGCAAGATGGGTCAGTGGGTACAACAATTGCAGAATAAGCCTGATGACGTGAGTCCATCCCCAGAGTCACAGCAGTTAGAAGACATGACTCTTAAAACTTGGCCTCTGGCTTCCATCCCACAACTCTGCGAGAGGCAGAGCCAGCACTCCAGACCCTGTCCTGCACACAGAGACAGCTTGACTCTCAGTAGATCTGTCACAATCAGTCTTACAGGTGAGCCCCTCCTGTCCCAATACCTGACCTAACTGGGACCCCCACAGATTCCAGAAGAAGCAGGACCTATCTGCCTTGCCAGAGACACATCATCCTTCTGGTCCACAGCTGTGCCTGGGGACAGAGTAGGTGCTCCAGAGTCCTCCCACACCCATAAACAGCTTGACTTTCAGTAGGTCCTTTATGAATCAGGCTCACAGGAAGTCTGTTATAACCAGACTCATAGATGGGGAGCTGCAGACTCCATGACAGCAACAGAAACCAATGTTACTTGGCACCATCAGAACCCAGTTCTCCCACCACCGCAAATCCTGAATACCCTAACATGACTGAAAAGCAAGATTCTGACTTAGAATCCCATATCATGAAGATGATAGAGGACCTTAAGGAAGACATAACTCCCTTAAAGAAATACAGGAGTACACAGAAAAACAGGCAGAAACCCTTAAAGAGGAAACACAAATACCTTAAAGAGATACAGGAAAATACAACCAAACAGGTGAAGGATTGAACAAAACCATCCAGGATCTAAAAATGGAAATAAAACCATTAAAGAAATCACAAAGTGAGACAACTCTGGAGATGGAAAACCTAGGAAAGAGATCAGGAGTCATAGACGAAACCATCACCAACAGAATACAGAAGATAAGCTGGGCAGTGGTGGCGCACACCTTTAGTCCCAGCACTTGGGAGGCAGAGGCAGGCAGATTTCTGAGTTCGAGGCCAGCCTGGTCTACAGAGTGAGTTCCAGGATAGCCAGGGCTACACAGAGAAACCCTGTCTTGAAAACAAAACAAAAAAAGAATACAGAGGAAAGAAGAGAGAATCTCAGGTGTAGAAGATACCATAGAAGATATATAGAAGACATTGACACAACAATCAAAGAAAATACAGAGTGCAAGAAGCTCCTAACCCAAACCATCTAGGAAATTTAGGACACCATGAAAACCTAAGAATAATAGAAATAGAAGAGAGTAAAGATTCTCAATTCAAAGGGCCAGAAAACATCTTCAACAAAATCATACTCAAAAACTTCCCTAACCTAAGGAAAGAGATGGCCATAAACGTACAAGAAACCTACAAAACACCAAATAGATTGGACTAATAAAGAAATTCCTCCAGTCACATAATAATCAAAACACTAAATGCACAGAACAAAGAATATTAAAAGTGGTAAGGGAAAAAAGCCAAGTAACATTTAAAGCAGAGCTATCAGAATTACATCAGACTTCTCAACAGAGGCTCTAACAGCCAGAAGATCTTGGACAGATGTCTTGCCAATCTTAAAAAATCATAAATGCCAGCCCTGGCTACTATACTCAGCAAAACTCTCAATCACCATAGATGGAGAAACCAAGATATTCCATGACAAAACCAAATTTAAACAATATCTTCCCACTAATCCAGCCCTACAGAGTATAATAGAAGGAAAACTCCAACACAAGGAGGGAAGCTACACCGAAGGAAAACCAAGAAATGAATCATTTCACAACAAATCTAAAAGAAGAAAACCACAAAAACATAATACCACCTCTAACAACAAAACAGGAACCAACAATCATTGGTCTTTAATATCTCTCAACATCAATGGACTTAATTTCCAAATAAAAAGACATAGGCATATATCCAAAAGATGCTCCAACATATAAAAAGGACACATGCTCCACTATGTTAATAACAGCCTTATTTATAATAGCCAGAAGCTGGAAACAACTTAGATGTCTCTCAATGGAAGAATGAATACAGAAAATGTGGTACATTTACACAGTGGGATATTACTCAGCTATTAAAAATGATGACTTCATGAATTTTGCAGGCAAATGGATGGAACTAGAAAATATCATCTAGAGTCAGGTAACCCAAACCCAAAAGACATACATGGTATATACTCACTGATAAACGGATATTAGCCCCAAAGCTCAGAATACTCATGATACAACTCACAGACAATATGAAGTGTAACAAGAAGGCAGGCCAAAGTGTGGATTCTTCAATCCCACTTAGCATGGGGAACAAAATAATCATAGATGCAGAGGGAGGGAGGGATCTGGGTAAGTGAGGGGAGGGGAGGGAAAAGGGGGTGGCAGGACCAGGTATGAGAAGAGACAGGAGAGAAGTCCAGAGGGTCAGGAGAATTAATAGAAATAAGTAGCAGTGGGGTGTGGGGAACAGAGGATAAACCACTACAGAGTCCCAGATGCCATGGATTTGAGAGGCTCCCAGGACCCAGTGGGGATGATATTAGCCAAAACAGCAGGGAGATGGAGCCTGAAGAGTCTACACGGCCTTCAGTGGGAGGGATGAGGCTACCCACCCATCTCCATTTTTAACCTAGAACTGTTCCTGTTTAAAGGAAACAAAGGGACCAAAATGGAACAGAGACTGAAGGAAAAGCCATCCAGAGAGACCACCCCATCTTCAGATCCATCTCATCTGCAGACACCAAACCCTGACACTATTGCTGTTGCCATGAAGCACTTGCAGACAGGAACCTGGTATGGCTGTTCCCTGAGAAGCTCTGCCAGCACCTGACCAGTACAAATGCAAATACTCACAGCCAACCATCAGAATGAACCTAGGGCCCCCAGTGGAAGAGTTAGGGGAAGGACTGAAGGAGCTGAATGGAATGCGACTCCATAGGGAGAACAACAATATCAACTTACTGGACCCCACAGAGCTCCCAGGGACTACACCATCAACCGAAAAGTATACACGGGTGGGTTCATGGCTTTCACAACATATATAGCAGACGACGGCCTTATCTGGCATCAATGGGAGAGGAGGCCTTTGGTCCTGTAGAGGCTTGTTGCTCCATTGAAGGGGTATGCTGGAGGGGTGAGCCGGGAGTAGATGGGTAAGTCGGGGAGCACCCTCTTAGAGGCAAATGGGATGAGGAGAGGGAGGGGGTTTGCAGAGGGGAGACCAGGAAAAGGGACATTTGAAATGTAAATAAATAAATAATAAAAAATTATATATATATATAAAAAGTTGGCCTCTGGCCTCCACATTTGCACCATGTCACATGCGTGTCCATATCCACAGATATGCATCATATCATATAAAGTAATAATATGAAGGTTGGCTTTAATGTCATCTCACTACAAATTAGAATCACCTGGCTAGGAGAGTCAGTCGAGAAATTGTCCTAATTGCATTAGTCAATGTGGAAAGATGCACCAGTTTGCAGGCAGCCAGATAAATGGTGTAGGGCAGAATTAAGATTATTCTTTTGTCTGCTTAAACCCTCTCATCAGTGAGTTCATGTATGTACCCTGCTGCGGCTGTTACTGATGACAGTTCCTTCACTGATGTCAGAACCAGCATTGCCGTGCTTCCACTGTGGGTTGACTCTCCAGGAACCCTCCAAGCTTTCTTGGGATTGCTGAGGCACCCACTCCTGTGCATTTGGCAGTCACTATGTTGTCAACTTCTCCAGCATGAAAATGATAGACACTGTGAATTACTACAACTGCTGAGGCATCTAGTCTCAAGGACTGAGCAACTACCAGGCTCCCAACCTCAAAGGTGTGACCTGCTGTTGTTACTATTTCAAGATAAATTGATTTAATGTATTATTTACATGAGGTGTTTCTTCTCTCACTCCCCTGTATTGTCTCCCTCCTGCTCATATGCGGCTTTTCTTCCTGATTAAAAGCACCCATCCCTGCCTTAAAGCACCCATCCCTGCCTTAAAGCCCCTTCCTTTTTGTAGGTTCTTCATGTTGTTCCTGGATACACTGATCCTTTTTTAGTTTGACCCCAAATGCCAGCTGGCTTATTATAATAATCAGAATCATAAGCTGTTAAGAGCACAGAGACTGAAGCTTGAGTTCTGGAATATCTAGACTTTCGAAATTTCAGTGGCAGTTGTTGTGCTTAGCATCTAAGCAAAATGGAAGGTACCAGCTCTTTATGGCCTAAGACACTCTGCCATTTAACTAACACACACACACACACACACACACACACACACAGAGAGAGAGAGAGAGAGAGAAAGAGACAGACAGAGACAGACAGAGAGACAGAGAAAGACAGAGAGACAGAGACAGAGAGACAGAGACAGACAGAGACAGAGATGGTTTGAATGAGAACGGTGCCATAGGCTCATATATTTGAATACTCAATCAGTTAACGGAA